CCCCAAAACCCCAAAACCCCAAAACCCCACTCCTCTGCAGACATATTGAAAAATAAAATTTAAATTTAAGTTTTTATAATAATAAAATGGAAAGTATTACTAAAGCTATTGAAAAAGAGAACACCCAGATGATCCGGTAACTGAGAGTTTAGTTTTAGAATACTTTAAATTTTCACTTTCAAATTTGTAACAAGTCCCAAAACTTTAAAGTTTAACCAACATTTTCCAACTTTTATAATCATTTCACCCAAAATTTCTTGGCTGAGGAGTTCATGGCAAAACTAGAGAGAGTTTATAAGCCTCACCTCTCTTAGATTTATTTGGGACCTCCACAGATAACATTTCTCCTAAAGCCTTAAACCTGGGAGTTCTCAAAATCTAAATTAGCACCCTTTCATCTCCAACTTTCTGACGGATCCTGACATTAATCTACCTCCCTGTCCACCTCTAATTGTGCAGCCTAGAGAATTCTGTCCTGGCAGAATCCAAGGAGCAAGAGGTCACCACATGTCAGAGCATCCTCTATAAGGTTCTTCCAAATAAAAAAGTTGAGCCATTGGATCCAGACTCCGAAAAAGTTTCATATAACAGTACACTTGGCATTTGGTTTAACAAAATCAGAGATGAAAAACTGTTGAAAAGTTTGAAGTGTCTTAAGGTTTTTGATATAGATTGCCTTTATTTGGGTCAGATTGATTCTAAAAACAGGCGTTTTGTAAATTTCTTACAATCCTCATTCCCAAATAAAATTAAGAAACTAGCTTTTGTGTCCAATGACCTAATGGATCTGAAAAGGCCCAACTACTTAAACTTCCTGACCAGACTCAGCTCAAAAGTCGCTCATGAAGTTTACTTTAGAGATTTCAGAATCGGCCTACCCCAACTCAAGAGGCTAGTGGCAGCTTTCAGGCATGTGAGAACTTTGAGATTGCAATATTGCAGGCTATCTATCCCAAGTGTTCCTGATTTGTCAAAGGCTCTGAAGAATTGCCAAATCCAGAAAATATATTTATTCGGGTCAGGAGACTCGGATTTAAGTGATTGGAAGAGCAACTTCGACGAGTTCGTGAACTTGGTACAAGGGTTAGCAAGTTCTCCATATTTAAGATTGAGTCTTGAAGAAGTATTTGTCAATGACTGCGGAGTGACCCAAAATAAAGTTGAAGAAGTCTTTGAAGAAAACCAGCTTGGAGGAGTAAAAATAATTGGTGGAGAATAAATTCTGGCTAAATTTCGTATTTTTACTTCTTTGGCTTAAATCCTGTTTTCTCCATATTTGGCACTTGGTTACTTTTTAATATATTCCGGGGTTTGATCAAGCTGGGGTTTTGGGGTTTTGGGGTTTTGGGGTTTTGGGG